ATACCCTTAATGACCTGCTTCAATAACACAAGACTGGGTGTTCCCTGAGGACGGCGACCAGCACCCAGGACCGTGTGGTGGGTAACAGTGTGAACGTGCAGCCAGTGTGGTGGCTTTGAATCCCAGTCAGTACGCAGCGACTGCGGGATAAGAATCTGAGCCTCAGTCTGCTCATCTGTAAGATGGGAATGAAAGAACCTTCCTCCCTGGCTTGTGGTGAGGACTAAATAAACTAATGCACCAACAACACATATGACAGGGTGTGGCTTTGCAGTGTAAGTTGGCAGTGTATGTTATACATGTGACATAGATGAGGAAACCAAGGCTAGGAGGGGTGAAACACCTTCTTTAGGAGCACACAGCTGCTAAATAATACAGCTGGCTCATGAGTCCAGGCCTAAAGCACTATCTTTTTGTTTTCTTCCACATGGCACACTTAGGTTGTTAATGAGAAAGTGGAACCTCTGAAGTGTCAGTAGAGAAAGCCATATATAGAACAGTACGTATAATATGATCTCATCGAAAAAAGACGTTTCGAGTGAATTACAGACTCTCCGATTACTACCTGCAAACCTGTATATGCCTTTGTCGCCTCATTTGCATCCATCTCTCCCACTAAACTACCTGAGGGTAGATTCCCCGTTGCCTAGCAGCATGGGGCCAGACACACCGCATTTAATATTTGTTAATTGCTGAATAGCATTTGAATCTTTTTTTTAAAAAAAACTTACTTATTTAACAGATAATAGATAATAGAAGATAACACATGAATGTGGTTAATGAAGTCAAGCTATGTAAAAAAATTATTTGGAGGAAAGTACTAGTTCTTTCATCCCGTTCCCCAAGCACCCAACTCCTGTCTCAAGAGGCGGCCACGGTGACTAGTTTCCTATGTGTCCTTCGGAGACATGATGAAACTGCATTGGATTTCAGTGCCATTGAAACCAAAGATTAGTTCGCCAAGGGTGCTTTATGCACATTTAGGCAGTAAGTTTTCTTTTCTGAAAATTCACCAGTTTCTCTCGACTCCACTCAAGGACAACCCGAACACAACCTCTGTGTGTGTGCAGGTGTGCACACACGTATACCGACCACCGAGGAAGGTGCCAGCCAGCTGCCGTGTTAGTGAACTCCTGCGGGTAAGACCCCCATCCAGTTCCATGCGATTCTATTCACAGACTCCCTCCCCTTGCTGCTGAGCTTATTAGCCATTTCTGTGGCCTGAGATTTCCTCCTTCTTGTGCGATTGATTCCCTGGATGTGGGAAGAGGAGGCCTCCTGAGACAGGGACATGACAAAGGACTTGCCACCTCTTCCTGGGGTCTGAGGTCATGCTGATACATAACTGACCACGATCTGAAATACAAATGTGCTTCTTGGAGGCAGCAAGGCAGCAACCGCTCTCCTCGGTGTGGCTGTTGGGCAGGTGTCTGCACCAGCCCCAAAAGGCCCTTTACTGCTCTAATAATGAAACCGCTTAAAGGGACGCGGCACTTAGCGTGGCCTTCTCTTGGGCCGCTAACCCGCTCCTGCTACACGGGCTGTGTTACACAGGCGTGGCCCACGCAGGCTTGGATCTCACTTAGAGGTGACATCAAGTTGCACGAGTGGATTCCAGCCTGTGCTGGCAGAGGAGTTAGTTGGTATAAAACACGGACAGTTCTCCACTTTGTTCTGAACATGCAGATTCCCATGTCTGTACTCCTCCCTAACACTTTCTAGTTTCCATTTCTACATACTAAAGGCACGTTCGCTTTATTTCTAAAAGACAAAACAAAACAGACTGAACAAACATTTACCCCAATATATAGGTTTTCCCAATCTATTTTTACTTTTAAGTGATTAAAACATAATAATTTGAAACTAAAAAAAACTACTCTAGTTCTTCTTGTCATATCTTTGGGGAAAATAATTATTTTATTCTTCCTTGCTGGCCTCTTTTCAGTTTATTCTTTTTAAAAAATATTTTATTTATTTATTTTTAGAGAGGGGAGGGAGGGAGAAAGAGAGAGAGAGAGAAACATCAATGTGCGTTGCTGGGGGTCATGGCCTGCAACCCAGGCATGTACCCTGACTGGGAATCGAACCTGCGACACTTGGTTCACAGCCAGCACTCAATCAGTTTATTCTTACACTGATGCAGCAAATAAATGAGGGAGGTGAGGTCAATTTATTTTTATTTTTAAATTTATTTCATGTTTCATTGCTTCAATATCATTTTGAGGGTCAATGTTTGTTTGGACATGTTCTTTCCCTGTTATTTCTTTTAGGGCTGATGTAGACATGGAGTCAGGGACTAACTAAATGGAGCCTTTGTTTTTCCCCGGGGCCCTCAGCGGAAGATGCGCCGAGAGATAACTGAAGGGTTCTTCCTTCTCTCCGAAATCTGTTCGCTACCAAGTTGTCTGTTTGTGACTCCAAGTCTTCGGTGTAGGCTCAGGGGTCTCTCTGACTGTCAATGAGCTCTTTCTATTGGTCTCTTTGTTAGTGCCTTCTTCTTGTTACTTCTCCCTCCTCAGTTTCCATCAGAAAAGCCAACCACAGGGCATCCTGCCAAAGCTATCTGCTCCAGCCCGGCCAGCTCGCTGCGGTTCTCACAGATCCCAGGAACGTCCTCACCGGGCTAGGAGACCATCCCAGGACTCCCAGGGAAAATGGATTCTCTAGTCCTGGCATCATCTCCCTTCTATTCGGGCCGTTATTTCTTCATAATCAGTCACTTCCTTCTCCACCGGTCTGCTTTCTATGCTCAGGTTTTTATCACTTTCCGTTCCTCTGCTCTTTAACTGAAACATGTCTGTCCTGGAGACTGAGCTCTTCTGGCGCTTAGAATACCATTTTGAGTCAGCGTTTCTGTGCCTTTTCCAGACATACTCCGGCACCACTGAGCTCTATTATTACACATATAGAATCACAAAATAAGTGGGTATTTTTGGTTAATGAATGAGAGGGATGCGGTTTAATCATCGGTAGGAGATTTAAACGTTTTCTGCTGAGTTTAAACAGATAAATCATATAGTAAGAGGATGGCGCTATACGAGTACATCTAGCACTGCTTGCTTGTCGGCTTCCACCAAGAAGCAGGACGTTTCCTGGCCTGGCACCTCTAACCAGATATCAGCTAGTCAGCAGAGCAGAGCGGTGGGAAGGCAGAGTGGTCAAGCGAGTCACCTCTGGCACGAGACAGCCTGAGTTGGACTCCAGAATTTACTAGCTGCATGTCCTAGGTCAAGTTGCTCGGTCTCTCCTTGTTCAGTCTCCTCATCTATACAATGAAGAGCGCAGTCATCACCCCCACCCACTCATGTCATAGACTTGTTTAGGGATTAAGCAAGCTAATCTGTCCCGAACCCCTAGAAAGTAGCTGGAAGAGTACTATATGATAACTGTGCACCATTATTATACAGCTGTTTCTTGTCTTGACAAGGACTATAATTCAAAGCAAAAAATGAGGTGAGCGTACAACATTTTACATCAACTTTCAAGGCAATGACTCAGTCCTGCAATACTTCTTCCAGGAATGTACTTGAACCTGGGAACCTACTAAAGTAGGGAAAGTCATTACTTCCCTCACTCAGTCAGGACACTTTGTCTTTGGACATCTCTAAAATGAACTAAAGTCATTCATCAGCAACCAGTACTAAAAAGAGCCAAGCTCTGGCTGGTATAGCTCAGTGAATTGAGCACCAGTCTGTGAACTGAAAGGTCACCGGTTTGATTCCCAGTCAGAGCACATGCCTGGGTTATGGGCCAGGTCCCCAGTTGGGGGTGTGTGAGAGGCAACTGATTGATCTTTCTCTCACACATCAATGTTAAAAATAAATAAATAAGATCTTTAGAAAAAGAATTTTTTAAAAAAGGAGCCAAAGATGTTAAAATAGAATATATCTAAAGTCCTGTGACAGGCTACTCTTCTGCTGTATTCTGACTTAACTGCAATTTAAGAATTCTATTGGGGGGGGGGGTTAAAGTTATAAATGCATTTATGTGCTACAGAATTTTCTTAGTTTTTATTGTCATTTCCTCTTTATATTTGCTGGAGATCTTGGCAAACACCAAGGTCGAGATTGAAACTACACAAATGCCATTTTTGCTGACAGATTATTAGAAATTTAAGTTAAAGCATTTTTTTTGTAATATCATGGCATTGCCTAACATGTTTATCAGCCAAAGGATTTCTATGTGGGTTCAGTCAAAAGTTCCAAGTATGTAAGTAGTTTTTTAAGTTCTATTATAATGGAGGACCAATGCCACCCATAAGTAATAAACTATTATTTCAGATACCAATACATCAAACAAAGCAATAATGTTTTATTAGTACAGATTGCTGTCAACCACACTAAATTTGTGAGGATAAAATGTTTCCAAAAAGGTATAGCTATTTATGGCAGGCACTTCAAGGCAACGAATGAAAGAGATCTGTGTTAACATTTCCCCCACTTTCCCTTTCCCAGTCACTTTCTGAGAGAGTGAAAGCACATTAGAAGATTCAGCCTTCACGACTAAACGTTGGATACTCAGCTTCAAGTCAGCACCAGTTAGACTATAATAACTGTCAGGGACCTGCATCCCATTTTGGGTGTACTCATTGTATAAATTAGTTTTAACTGAAAGTGACATTGTATAATAATTACATTTTGGCCAAATGTAGCTTGCTTTTTTTTTTCATTGTTATTTAACTGCTGAGGCCTAATGATGACATGATTACTCCTTTGTTCCTATATGAGATAGAAAAACATTTTGTTTACTTCCCTTTCCACACAATCAATTGATTTGCATGATGCCTAACGATGCCTCTTTCAGATTCCCAGGAGTTTATTGGTCCAAACAGGCCAACAAGCTGTCATTTAATGGGAAACAAAATCTTCAAAGGCAGAGAAAAGCCGGGGCTGGGCCACCAGTTTGAATACCACCATCGGTCTATCTGATAACATTCCTAGGCAGCCAGATGCCCCAGAGCAACAAGATCCAGTTTTTTCGGTTGTCATCCCGGGACTTACCCACAATGACCGCAGTGACAGTGAGCAGCACAAAAGCATTCCGGAGCAGGTAACTTTTAACATCCTCCTTTGTGATGTTCTGCACTTTCTTCTTGGCCAAGAGTGTGCGTTTTCGGACGCCTTGCTGGAATCTCTCCATCCTGCCTCCCACCCTGGGCTCTTCCCCATTGCTTTTAGTCATACTTGGCCTCTCTAGGGGTCTCTCTTCTTTGCACTTCAATGTCTAGGAATCACCCCCCAGAAACGCCAGGCCTCTTTGACGTTGGAGAACACAGCTGGAGGGGAGAGAAAGAGGCAAGGGTTAGTCAGCCCTCTGGGGGTGAGAAGTCAGTGAGCTCCACACTAGGAGAAGCTATTGGCAGACTGCATAATCTCAGTAGGCATCAAGGGCTGGAGTCACAATGCCTAGAATGCGCATATTTTACAGATCACGTGTGAGAAATGTGCGCAGATTCAGAATATGTGAGCAGAAACCTGTGCCCTATTTTTAAAAAATTGTCTTTCCCCCTCCAGGGAGGCTATAAAGGGGTCATCAGAGCTGGGTGGACTGAGTGTCCCCTCCCCCAGAACCTAGCTGGATGCTTTGCACAATATTCACCCTCAGTAAACACCCAATTGAACTGAATGCACAGGAAACGCTCAGTGATTACTTGATGGCTTATGTTGTATGCATGGGGGAGGCACCATCAGGCCAGTGGAAATGAGTATTGGTAGCTCTCGGTTGGAGCTTTCTGTTATGTACAATAAGACAACTATTTTCCCCATTAAAATAATCATGATACTATCAACTAATAAATAAGGCCATGAAAAGGTCACAAGGAACCACAGGACTTGGGAAACACATTTGACTATTTCACAGAGTAACTATTTATTTATTTATTTACTTACTTATTTATGTGAAATAAGGAAAGTACTCTGGGCACATTTATAAGTTATCTGAAACCATAATTAATTTTCATTTTTGTTACAAGCAGAAGGACCAAGTAGTCTCTGGTCTTTGTGGCAAACATACTGAAGTCTTCTGAGGAAACTATCACCAACTTGTATTTGAATCTTTAGGATTTCTGGAGCAGAGGAGGTGAAGCCGGTTTTCATGCCAAACATTACAGTGTGTAGTTTCTCATTTCTTTACAGTGTTCCTAGGTTATTAAAATATATCCAAGTAATTCTTTCCAGAGGTGGAAATCCTGTTCTGAAAAATCAAGGGATACCTCCCGCGGCTTTACAAGATTTCTAAGTCTTAATCTCTACCACGGATCAAGCCGAGAAAAAAAGCCAGTCGTGCCCGCGACGCGTTATCTGGCAGCGCTAGCGACCAGCGTGGGCAGTGTGCAACGGTTGGGGAGGTGATTGCAAAGCACACTCCTCGGGAAAAAGACTTTGCTGAACAGATTTGACTTTCAAATAAAGTTGTAAGGTGAAGTCAGCGAATAATAAGACCTACAATCTTTTTTAACACCTCACAGCAGGTTAAAAGTTTAGGGAGAAGTGATGACCAGAAGACGCCAGAGACCCGAGTTTCCCCCTTAATCTCGGATTCCCCTCACCGGTCCGTCGCTTTTAAACAGACCAGCTCAGTCTTATTATTTTCTAGATCTCGAGCCACTGCCTGCCCCTCATCGCCCTGAGCGACTCAACTCCAAATTAACCCAAGACACGGCACACAGAGACCCCACACGCTCGTGGTATTAAATTGCCAACGCGGACTTGCTCTACCAAAATGGCTAGCTTTTACTCTCGCAGCTCCCCTGCTTGGGAAACCAAATCCACGGGCAGAGACGTGGAACGAGAAATTCAACCCAGCAGGAATACAGGGCGTCAGACTCACCTTTCGTGGTGTCGTGAAGGGTGGGAGAGGTACCCCAGGCAATGACACGGCGAATTCCCGAGCAGGTAAGAGCGGGGTAGCAAAACGCAGCGAGCCAGGCGTGCATGTGCTCTGCGACTGCTAGTTACTATCAGGGCAACTTAAGGAAAGGGGCGGAGTCTGCGCCCGGGCAGCGGGAGTGGGGAAAAAATGAAAACACCGCCGGGGACGGAGCCGGGAAGCCCGAGGTTTCTGGAATATTGATGAATCTTGGCGCACCAGAAGCATGCTTGCTGGCTTTGTTGTGCTCCTTGGACCACTTTCACGCCTTGCCAGTTCGCTTTCATTAGAAATGCAAAACCGGGCACCAGGAAGAATGGGAGAATGAAGCGAACACACACACTCAGAAAGCTGCAAGTCTTGATTAGAACGTTTCAAAGGAGACTTTTCTGAGGCTAAATTTAATTATGCCACATTATTGCGGGTTTCCTCCCTTTAAGGAAACACGAGAGTGTGCTCTTTTGCCTGGTTGTACAGCTGTTACGAAAGAGTCCCCCTTTAGAATTGGGGAAATAAGTGGCATTTTTTGGGAGGACTCGGAGCGCAATCAAGTATGGAGGGGAAAAAAATGCCTACTACAATTCTCTCAAGTTGCCTAAAGTTACTCAAAACACAAGACGAGACATGCCCCTCTTTAAGCAGTTTAAACTCTATTATAACAAGTCTAATGTAGTTCAAAGTATCTCGTTTGCAAAGACTAAAACGGTTAGACGCACAGAGACCAGGGTCTTTGCTAAACTACAGTCAAAATTATTTTGTGAGCAAGAGTGTAAATCCACATTTGAAGCTTCGTGATTTCAAGATACGTGGCTGTGCAGACGGACGCCTCAGTTTTGAAGGATGCTCGGTGTATCCCCTCCCATCACGTGTAGGAACTAGAAACTTCTCATTGCCTTGAGAATATATCTTGCACTTCTAGTGTACTTTTCTTCACAAGGAAAATAGATGGAAACTTTTTTTTTTGATCCTGCCTCAGCTGTAAAACTTTAACATGAAGAAAAAAGTGTAATGGGAATAAAAACCCATACCAAAACTTACAACCAGAGGTCTGTATTCCTGTTCATTAAGTCCCATATTCCCCCGGCAAGATCTACTTAAGTTTTGTGTCTGTTACCCAAGAAGAAAGTATGGCTTTTTCCTTCCTTAGTAAATCCGAGGGAGAGTCTAAAGATATGTCTCCTGCCTGCCCCCACTGCTCCATGTCCCTTTTGAAGACAGCTGCTGGTTGGAAAGCAATGGTGAATCACAGAAGTGCTTTAAAACGACAAATTAGCAGCAAGTATAACAACTTTTAAACGTGGCATAATTTTAAGAGTTTATTGAGAATACATGCTCTTGATAGCCTCGGCCTTCAACAATCTTTCTCTTCCACTGACATCCTAGGTCACTTAGCATCTGTACCACGTTGTTCAGCGCTTAATTATACTGTCTTCTACTGCTCCTTTCTTTACAAAGTCCTGTTAAATTTTGCCTCCTCGACTAGATTGCAAGTTCTTTGAGGACAAGAGCCAGTCTTATGCCTGATACAGTAAACAGTAAGTAACTCTTAAATGGATGGCATAATATACGGGTGTGAAAGAAAACGCTTTTCAACCTTCTGTGTTAAAACGGAACTACTGGGTTTTACGCTAGCCCTTCTGGCCTAGGTGTGTGGCGTGGAGGTTGTTTCTCAACACAGTGACTGCACTTTAAAGCATTTATTCACTATACAAAGTCCCTTCTGGGCCATGGGTTTCAGGTTAATTTGTCCACCTTTCTTGTGGACATGACCTGTATTTCAAGGGGACTTAAAAGAGAAATCTTTAGTTGATCTTAAATGGAGTTACAAGCCAAGTGGCCTTTCTGCTTTTTAAGCCCGTTTTTTTTTTCATAGGGCAGAAAAGGGACTAGTAAAAGCACACACTGATTAGCACAGAGACGAGAAGGCTCTAGCACCACCCCCTTTTGCTCCTTTTTTCTAATCCCTAAAGTTCGGTTAAAAGCCATTTCTTTATGATAGTTTGCACAGACATTAGGGGGGTCTGGTGTACCCTTGAGAAGGGAAGTAATTCACCACTGAAAGTTTTGTTGGCTGTAATAAAACCTAATGAGAAAATGAGATGCAAAGAGTCTCCGATCAGAGTTCATCTGAATTACAAGGTTTTAGTCTGGGAGAAATATTGGGAATTACTTTTTTTTTTAAGTTGTACTTTCTCTTTTGGAAAGCACTAACAATAATGCCCTCGGGGCAACCTGGGCTTTCTCAACACATGTTTCTACCTCCGCCCTACTTTTAAATAAAATCCTTGAGCGCTGAGACATTTTTTCCTTCACAGAAATACTAAAGGAGTAAAAGATCAAGAAATGGTGAACAAGCCTCTGTATGCTTCATTTCATTTAAAGCTACTCTGGGTAGGAGACAGAGCCAGGGGATCAGTTTTGGTATTTCGGAGTCAAAAAAAAATATGTTGGCAAATACTGCCCCTTTTGAAAAATCTTTCAAGAAATTTCTTTGACTATATCAATAGTATTATAAAGTATGATGTAGGTAAATTTTTTTTTTGAGAAAAAAATGTTACTCTAACAACACATAACCAGATCCAATCTATCCTTAAATGGACTCTCCCATTCATTAGTTTGAAGTGTGAAGGATGGTGATTAACAAGTAGGTGCTGTAATATAGCACAGAACAGTCCAACTTCAGCATTCAAAGTAAAGGAATTCTGGAATTTGAGGAAGTAAATGGATTAGCACACCTTTTAACGTTTATTGAATAGTTGCCACTTTTATTTTTAATTTCATGAGGGCTCTTGTCATTTCTTGAATCATCTTGCACTTTAGAATCATTATAAAGAATGTCAATTCTCCTTCCAGAAGTTGGAAATTGTAGAATGTTACCACAGAGGATGGGACCAGGTTTAACCTCAGTGGAAGTACTAGAAATAGTGAGACTAGAAGTAGTGCTTGTGAAAAATTAGTTTTTTTTACTTTGTCTTAAAATTCTTTCCTTCTTGGGTTTGAATATTTAAAAAAAATCTGTAGTGAACCCTGATTAGTTGGATTTTTAACTGACTGGGTTTATTTTAAGCCTGTGTGAGGCCTGAAAAACCCAAATAGAAGTGAACTATAATTAACCTTTATTTCATTTATTCATTCATTCACTCAACAAACCATAAGCAAGTACTGTGCTCCATGTACCGAGTATCAGTCCCTTTGCTCAAGGAGCCCACGAACACAGTGCTATGCAGTGTGCTGTGGGAGGGCCCACGGAAAGCTGCGGCATTCTGTGCTGAGGCCTGTGTACCAGGTCCCCTTCGAGACCGAGAGCTCCTGAGGGGCCTGTGCCTGGCTCAGCACTGTGTGCACAGAAGACCCCCAACACCAAAGTGAAGAGCTTGGACTCTGTTCCTAGGCAGGAGAGAGCCACAGGATTTAAGCACAGAAGTCATTTTACTTGTAGGTTGATGCAAACTCTTTAAGTGAATAAGACTTGAGTTAGGAAGCCAAGGGAGAGGAGGAGCATTTGCACACTGGGACAGTTTATTTGTTAAAAAAAAAAAAATGAATTCCATTGGGGAATGCAGACAATCTCACAATGTTGAGGCCCTTCAAGGGGTAGGCTGGCGTGAAGTCAAGACTGCTTCCATTACATGCACTGTGTGCTCACCAGGGCACTTGGCCGGCCCAGCTCATTCATTGTAGTGACCAGTCTGTTCCCCTAGCACCTTCTAGTGTGTGGCTGCTGGTGAAATTTAAGAGGCAGTCTGAGCAAGGGCAGGGACCTGGGAAACCCCAACATAAAGGGGAAGAAGATGAGGAACCCCTAAATAGATCTGCAGACGGTGAGAAGTTGTGCTAACCATTTTATCACGTTAGCTAAGAGCTGGACTTAATGGGGAGTTAAAGAAATTGAAACACATTTTCTCTATTTTAAAACTAAAAGGGTCTCTTTTTTAACGAAGACGTTATTGGTATTAATTACGAGCCACATTGGGAAATGGCATTTTCCCCAGTTACTCAACATGAGCCAACACTCTGAAGGAGCCGAATTTTGGGTTAATTGGGAAAGATCGTGTAGGTTAATCAGAGTTAAAGCCTTCGGCAGAGTGCTAGCAACAGTAACAGTCAACATTTTTGTAAGGCTTGATAGTTTTATAAGCCACTTTACACATATTACCTAATTTCAACTTTGTGACATGCTTTGAGGTGCATGGAGCTTTCCGGAGATTCAGCCATTTGCCAGGATTCCAGGCAGCGAGTCGCAAGCGTTCTTTACACTTTTTGGAATTTTGGTTTCTCATCATTTTCCAAAAGAAGTCCCTGTAGCTTTTATTGAAGACACATAGAAAAGAAAGAAAAGAACATTAAAAGGAAGGTCTCCCATCAGTTATTTCTTCTGGGAAGTCAGCTCTAAACTCCTCCTCCTCAAACCTGTGACAGGTCGATCGCCCCTCCTGTGGGCCCCCAAGGCTCCCTGGACTTACATTTCCAGAGCTCCCGCCCTGCTCTGAAACGCTCCCTTCCCAGGCTGTGGGGTCTCTGAGAGCGGAGCCTATGTTTGTAACTAGCGCAAACTCAGTGACCAGTACTCGGTAAAGAGTCGCTGCACGAATAAATGAACACAACACAGCCACAGCTATGAGAGTTCATCAATCCCTCTCCAATCCTAGGGCTTGGAGAAAGGATCTCAATAACATGGGACTTTTAAAAGGTGGGGGAGGAAGCCAAGGGATTCCCTTTTCAACCATTACAATGTCGAATAGATACAAGTGAGGCTGCTCTAATGCAATGGGAGGAAAGGGGTGATCACAGCCACAGGTGAGGCCCCTGGGGCTCCATCAGCTCGTGGATTCAACTCGCCGTCCTTGCAAACAAGGGTGACTGAGGAAGTCAGGTCCTCTTGTGCTGATTCCTCAGGGCCAGGGCCAGGGTTGAGAGCTTGGGTTTTCTGTCACTAAAACCACATATCCCTCCCTCTCCATTTAGAATGGTATCTGTGAAACGAGGTTAGATTAGATGATTTCTCTCAAGCCGCTTTTCTTATTAACATGCTATGATTCTAAATCACGTCCTGCCAATAATGGGCTTGCCCTATTCACTTTGGTCTATGCAGTTAAAGACGCAAATTTTTATATGCACTC